TCTCTAAATGACGTTGGAAGACAGAGAATGAAATCTGCAGAACTTCTGAAACCGTCAGATAACCTCACTGTCCTTCAGCTACAGTACTGTGATTTAGAGAAAACCATTTTCCAATACTGACTCAAGGCCCCCTGTAATAAATGTGTCTCGCTACAACCTAAAAGAACATGGCACTTAGAGCAAGTTTAGTTCCCCCAGAGAACAGCTGAGGATCGGCACCCAATTCCTCATTTGTATACAGCGCATCCTATGACCCTAAGGATTTGAAATTTTCAAACGATGTCTTTCATGGTTAGACTTGGAGGATTGTAAGCTTTAAGCTTTAACTGAGAATGTGGCCCTGGAAGGGTGGATGTGAGCAAGCAACTTTCTCTGAGTGCCGCTAGGCTTCGCTAACACTGCTCCAACATGGGCTAAAGCCCTCAGCACTGACAGCAGTGGTGAAAATGACTGGACTTTTTGGCCCCGTCCTTTTCTTTGGCCTTTTGCCAGTGTGGGGGGCTTACTGCCCCTGAGCCTCCAGGGCGCTTGGTCTTCGGGCAACCCTACCCATGCTTGCTGGCCTGCATGCTCCGCCACGTGGCTGGCTCCTGGTGCTCAGTATGAATCCAGATTTCTCTTTTTTTCTCTCTCTTAGATAAGGCCCTCACTCTTCTATGCATTTCTCTCACTGAATCAAAGCTTAAAAACTAAAAAAAAAAAAAAAAAAAAAAAAAGAAAGAAAGAAAATGATTGGGCAGTAGTGTGGAATTCTGTTCTGTGACCATAGTGCTTATTTCATTTTCAGACAGAACCCGGCCCAGGGAGCATTTTGTGAAAGCACTGGTTTTCTTAGTTCCCTGTCTTCTCAGTTCTTAGAAGTTTTCTCCAATCTTTTCTTCCATGCAACCTTATTCTTCCATGCCCAAGGCCACAAGTGCACTGGCATCACTGATAAAGGTACACAGGAAAAATAAATCTCAGTGTCAACCTCACGTCATTTTTGAGATGCATCCTTTCCTCACCTCCCTCCCGCCAAGGTCAGCAATTACTCAGTGGAACAGCAAGAAGTGGAAGGTCTTCCCTTCCCCTCACCTCACAGTGCTGTGTCTTACCTCTCCCAGTCTAGATTCCATGGGTCATCATTACAGTCTACTTGCGTTTAACCCCTCTGTCACTCTCTCCCTCTTTCCTTATGTTATACCCATTTAATTAATCCCCAACTCAGGCTAGACTCAACAGTTATTCAACACCTCTGCCCCAAAAGTGCACATTGCTGGAGAAAATCAGTGACCATATAGGTTAGTCTTTCTCTAAATTTGTGAGCATTAATCTTAAAAGAGCACTCACCGGTACCCAGAAATCCTACTACATTTTCCTTTCTTTGAGATTAAAAAACAAACAAACAAAAAGAAACCCTTTCTCTTCAACTACCCCAGACCCCCCCCCCCTCCATACCTCATGAGCTCACCTCATTCTTCCCTGAGAAAAGAAGAGCAATCAGATGGGAACTCCCTCAACTTCCCACCACCAACTTTGTTAACTTATCTCCATCTACACTCACATTCTCTGCCTTCCTCTTATTACAAAGAAAAAAAAAGTTTCTCTGTGCCTAAAAATGCCACTCCTCCCCTTACTTTCTGGATTTTATCTCCTCCCATGTTCAAGGAATTCAAGCCCGCAATTATCCTGCGACTCACCTTGTGTCATTAGCCTCTGCCTACTGGATCATTCCAATAAGCGTAAACACACAAACTATTCCTTTAGAAAGCCCCCTTTGGATCTCATGTTACCCTCATATTACTTCATGTATCTTCCTGATCCCTTAACAGCAAAGCTTATCAAGAAGTGCCTCTATTAACCACAACACACACCAGTAAAGTGTTTCTCCTGTCCAATCCTCTAACACTGTACTTGTCAAGGTCACAACAATGTGTGGGGAGCAACTTGGATTAGACTGTTACTGGAATTAAGACTTATTCTATGCATCTGCTTTCCCACAATATGGCGCTGAGAAGGGAGTAACAACTTCTACGCAGCTGCCTCTCGCCAACTTGAGTGATGACCTGCAGGAGCTGATCCTGCTCCTGATTGCAGGAGAGCAGCGTACTCGGCGAGTGGGTAGCAGAGTTGGGATTGGTGGAAGAGGACTATAAAGGAGGAGAGAGACAACATGTACCAGGAACATCTATCTAAGGGGAACACCTGAGCAGCCCCCGAAAGAGCCGGCCGGCGGTGTGCTGCTCCCCCGCAGAAGTGGGGAATGTGGCAGGGGGAACCGCCCTTCCACAGAGGTGGAAGGGTCGGTAGCCAACCCGGGAAGAACCAGCAGCAAACCCGGGAAGGGCCGAGCAGACAAAAGAACAGCGCAGGGTCCTGTGTCGTTCCTCCACGAAGACGGGGAGCAACAACAATGTCCATGATGAAATCTCAAGGTCACTTCTTTGTCCTCATGTGACTTGACCTCACATCAATTTCCCTTCTTGAAACATTTCATTCTCCTGAATTCTACATCACCACGTTGTCCTTGTTTTCTTCCCATCAAAATGAACTCTCTTCTCAGCCTCTGCGGATGGTTCAGTGCTGGTCCTCCATCACTTCATTATTATCTAGCCTATGGACTAATCCCACGACTTTACTATTTCCTGGCGATAGCCTCTCCATTCTGAACCCCTCCCCCTGAACTCTTAACCCTGTTTCTGTCCTTGTCTTCCCTAGCAAACTAAAGGGCATTACCTTTGAACCAATTGTTCAAGCAAAGTTCTTTGAAATCAACCTTGATTTACCTGTATCCCCTAAACCTCCTATATCCCCTACATATACTCACTAATCAACCATCAAATCTGATCTGCTTGACCACAGAAACATGTCCTTTATGCACCCACTTCTCCTCACATCTACTAATACTACCCTGGCCCACACCACCCACATCTTTTGCCGATAGTACTGGAGTAGCCTCTAGATGTTCTTCCTTTCCTGCTGGACCCCCCCCCCCAAATCTTTTCAAGCAATACAAGTAGACTTCACAATATAAATAAGATCATTTAAAAATATTTTAAAGATTTTATTTATTTGAGAGGTAGAATTACAGACAGAGAAAGGGACAGAGAGAAAGGTCCTCCATCTGCTGGTTCACTCCCCAAATGGTCACAATAGCCGGAGCTGGGCTGATCTGAAGCCAGGAGCAAGCAGCAGGTGCAGGGAGGGACCCAAGCACTTGGGCCATATTCTACTGTTTTCCCAGGCCATTCTAGAGACTAGATCAGAAGAGGAGCAGCCAGGACATGAATCAGTGCCCATATGGGATGCCTCGGCACTAGCCCCAGATCATATTAACAATACAAATAAGATCATGCTAAGTTCTGGAATCTTACTGATGGCTTCCCTCTGCACTTAGAATTAACTGCAGACATCTTTTTCCTGCCTACATACCTTTTATGATCTACCTCAGGCTATCTCTCCAGCCTCAATATATTCCAACACCAGTATTCATTGCTATGATTCAGTCACAGTGGCTGAACTTCTCTATGTTCTTCAAGTCCACCAAACTCCTTCTCAACTCACAGCATTTGAAATTGCTTGCCCATCTTGATCTGCCCACAGCTGGCTTTTTCTAATCATTCAGCTTCCACTCAATATCAAGAGGTATCAATCCTGCACAGCCCAACGGGAATCTCCTCTCCAATCATTATTATCAACTGACTATCTTGTTTTTCTCATGGCTTTTATTATGATCTCATTTCTTAATAATTGCTTTATTTTACAGTTTTAATTTACTGCTGTCCTCCTCACTCTAGAATATTAGCTTTGTGATCATGACTATTGTCTCAATCACTCTTACATTCAACTTGTTTAAGACAAGTCCCACTAAATAACAGGTGGTCATAATTATATGTTGAAATAATAAATGAGGCCGGCGCCATGGCTCAGTAGGCTAATCCTCCGCCTGTGGTGCCAGCACACCGGGTTCTAGTCCTGGTCAGGTGCTGGATTCTGTCCCTATTGCTCCTCTTCCAGTCCTGCTCTCTGCTATGCCCGGGAGTGCAGTGGAGGATGGCCCAAGTGCTTGGGTCCTACACCCCATGGGAGACCAGGAGGAAGCACCCGGCTCCTGACTTCAGATCAGCACGGTGCACTGGCTGCGGCGGCCATTGGAGGGTGAACCAACGGCAAAGGAAGACCTTTCTCTCTGTCTCTCTCTCTCACTGTCCACTCTGCCTGTCAAAAAATAAAAATAAAAAAGAAATAATAAATGAATGCTGGGTCTCAGTTGTTATTACTAAATAGGAATTAATAATAAATATCAGAGATAGATTGAATTGCCCTTGCTGCCCCGAGATTAATACTTGAAATCTAGAGTAGGAGTTGCAACCTAAGACTTTAGTTATACCTCATGATCCCCAAGAGGGTTCATTGTAACAAAAACATTCACGTGAAAATTATTTTTTTACATTAAAGTCAATATACACATCATCATCTTACATATATCCTTAAAAAATGAGTCTTCTGTTCCAATTAATTTTTAATAAGATCAGTATTGATTTAATAAGATCAGTATTGATTTCAAAATTGATATCAATACACAAAATAAAGAAATAAATTGGTGTGACAAGTATTTACACTGGTGAAAATTATTTCAGTTTAATAAAGTTGAAATATAAAATATAGGACACAATTAAATTTCTTTGCTTAGAAAACAGATAAAGAGTCATTTGGCTTACTTATTTGCCTCAGAAAATATTTACATTACAAATGTATTTATGTCTTTGCTTTCAATTAAATATAAAGTCAAACATCTTCTAAGTCAGAATAAATGCATTAAAGCAAAGAGCTCAAATAGAACTTGCTTCTCAAACAAGAACCAGGAAATATCTAACCTGCTTTTGTTCTTAGGTTTCCCTCCCTCTAGCAATATTGTCTCAAAACAGCAACAGAAAACATCTTTTTAACATGTACATCAGATTGTATTATTTCCATGCTTACTTTGCAAGGGCTTCTCTTAAATGCAGAACAAAAGTCACCTGAATTTGGATGCAACGATGGAAGTGAGTGTTCTTCATTTTCCTTTTCCTTACGCACTCTTCTTTTACTCCACATCCACCCCCTTAATCATCACCATGCCACAGAATTGGTAGAAAAAAACAATCAGAATAAATGAAAGGGAGAAGTCTGGTCTAACTCAAGACAGAATAAGCTCACCCCATTTTCCACCCACTGAAAGCAGCTATGACTGGGCTAATGCATGGACCAACTTACAAAACCCAAAATTCAGACTGCCACGGAATCATACTAGACTTTGTCACTTTGCTTTCCTCCGATGTCCCTGTTGTGTGTCTGTAGCCTACGACCCAGAACTGCTCACTGGGTCACAGCAGAAAGGCTTCAAACGGATGCTCTCAATTTCTAGCCCAGCGGAATGAAAAGAGGAGCTCTGCTAAAGAGAGACTGGGGGAAATACTCTGGTATTTTTTCTTCTATGGTCCTTCTATGGGTAGGCACAGTTATGGACAGTGTACCAAGGAGCATGTAACTAAAGCCCAGTTTTCTAGCTAGATGAGCAAGAAATGGGAACTCTAGGATTCAGGTATGTTGAGGAGATTGAGAAGAGGAAGAAACTCAAAAAAGGAGTTTGATAGATTTGTATATGAACTCTTGGACTTGACTTCAAGCAATACATATATGGATCGTGTCCTAAACTGAATACCAAAAGCTTTGAGAATTTACTGCAGGATAGACAACTGTCCATATTTAGATGTTTCCTGAAAGCAGAAGGGGAGATATTTAGTGAACCAATGATATAGTGAACCAAGAATTACCCTGATATCAGAAGCAAGGACATATGGAAAGACTATGTAACAACTTACCTTGTGAAGAAGTCAAGAATATAAAGCTTAGAAAATCAAAGAAATCAAAAGTTGACTCTCAGAGTAACTCAACAAAAGTAACAAGCCCTCTGTCTCCCTGGGGAAGAAAAAAAGGAAAGGAGAATCAAATTAAAATCTGGAATGAGAATGGGATCATTACTACCAGCTGCATAGGAAAAAAATGATTGGAATTAAATACTATAAATAATTGTATATCAATAAATTAAATAACCTAGATGAAATGGACAAATCTCTAAAAACATACAAACTACCAACACTGAACCAAGAAGAAATAGGAGCTATGAATACATGGATATCAAATAGATTGGATCAACCATCAAAATATTTTCAACAAAGGAAAACCCAGGAATAGATAGCTTTACTGATAATTATAATTCTATCATATGTTTAAAGGAGAGTTAATACAGATTAACATCAATACTTCAATATATCTAAACAATAAAGGAGGAAGGAACACTTTCTAACCCACTGTATGACATCAAAACTAAACAATGACATCACAGGAAAAGAGAACCACAGAACAATATCCCTTCTGGAAGTAAATAAAAAAATCCTCAACAACACCCTGCAAACCAAATCCAGCAGCTTATTCAAAGGATTATACAACAGAATTAAGTGGGACTTATTCCAGAAATCCAAAGTTGGTATAACATATAAAAATCAATTAATATGATAGGCACATGATCATCTCAATAGGTAAAAGCTCTTGACAAAATCCAACACCTTTTGTGGGGGAAAAAAATTCTCAACCAACTGGGAATGGAACCTAACACCCTAGCTAACTATGAAAGATTGGATGATTCCCCCTGAGATAAGAAAAAGAAAAGGATGACACTTCTATGAAACATTGCACCAGAGGTTCTAGCCTGGACAACTGGGCAATAAAATAATCATCATCATCATCATCATCATCATCATCATCATCAAGGATCCCGCTTGAAAAGGAAAAAGTAAAACCATCTGTATTCAAAGATGAGATAATTTTATTCACAAAAAAGGTCTACGAAGTAACTATTACAGCTCCTAAAGAAGTTCAGTAAATTGAAGAATTCCAGATCAATATGCAAAAATCAGTTGTGCTTTTATATACTCGTCATGAACAATCAAAAATGATATTAAGGACTCCATTTACAGGGTCATGCAAAATGGTATGATAATTAAGAATGAATTTAGCTATGGAAGCTCAAGACTTGTATACTGAAAAATACAAAGTGTTACTGAAAGAAATTTTAAGAGACCTAAATATATAGAAGACATTTGTGTTCATAGATTGGAAGACTTAACTTTTTTTTAAAGATTTATTTTATTTATTTGAAAGAGTTACAGAGAGAGGCAGAGAGAGAGAGAGAGAGAGAGGTCTTCCATCCGCTGGTTCACTCTCCAGACAGCCTCAACAGCCAGAGCTGTGCTGATCCAAAGCCAGGAGCCAGGAGCTTCTTCCCGGTCCCCCACGCAGGTGCAGGGGCCCAAGGACTTGGGCCATCTTCCACTGCTTTCCCAGGCCATAGCAGAGAGCTAGATTGGAAGAGGAGCAGCAGGGACTAGAACTGGTACCCATACGGGATGCCGGCCCTCCAGGCCAGGGCTTTAACCCACTATACCACAGTGCCGGCCCCCTGACTTGCCATTTTTAATATGGCAATGTTATCCAAATTGATCTACAGATTAAATGCAATCAAATCAAAATTACAATGACTTTTTTTATTTTTTTGCAGAAATGGAAAAGTGGATTCCAAAATTCATATGGAAATGTAAGGGGTCCTGAATAGCCAAAATATCTTAAAAAACAAGAACAAAATTGAAGGAATTACACTTCCTAATTTCAAAACTAGTTGTAAAGCTTTAATATTAAAAACAGTATGGTAATGGCATAAGCCTAGACATTTAATCCAATGGACCAGTGTCTAGTAATAAACCCAAAAATCTTAGGCCATTTGATTTTTTTAAAGATATTATTTATGGGGCCAGCGTTGTGGCATAGCGAGCAAAGCTGCCATCTGCAGTGCCTGCATCCCATATGGGATGGTTCGAGTTCCAGCTTCTCCACTTCCAATCCAGCTCTCTGCTATGGTCTAGGAAAGCAATGAAGGATGGCCCAAGTTCTTGGGTCCCTGCACCACGTGGGAAGCCCCAGAGGAAGCTCCTGGCTCCTGGCTTCAGATTGGTGAGGCTCCAGCCTTGTAGAGAATTGGGGAGTGAACCAGCGGATGCAAGACCTCTCTCTCTCTCTGCCTCTCCTTCTCTCTCTGTGTAACTCTGACTTTCAAATAAATAAAATAAATCTTAAAAAAAGATGTGAAATCTCAATGTTTAAAAAAAGATATTATTTATTTAATTGAGAGGTAGAGTTATAGACAAAGAGAGGGAGAAACAGAGAGATAAAGAAGGGTCTTCCATCTGCTGGTTAACTCCCCAAATGACCACAAAGGGGCCGGCGCCGCGGCTCACTGGGCTAATCCTACACCTGTGGCACCAGCACACCGGGTTCTAGTCCCGATCGCCCCTCTTCCAGTCCAGCTCTCTGCTGTGGCCAGGGAGTGCAGTGGAGGATGGCCCAAGAACTTGGGCCCTGCACCCCATGGGAGACCAGGAGAAGCACCTGGCTCCTGCCTTCGGATCAGTGTGCTGCTCTGGCCGCAGCGCACCGGCTGCGGCAGCCATTGGAGGGTGAACCAATGGCAAAGGAAGACCTTTCTCTCTGTCTCTATCTCTCACTGTACACTCTGCCTGTCCAAAAAAAAAAAAAATGACCACAAAGTCCAGAGCTGGGCCAACTCAAAGCCAGGAGCCTGGAACTTCCTCTGGGTCCCCCACATGGGTGCAGGGGCCCAAGCACTTGGGCCATCTTCCATTGCTTTCCCAAGCCATAGCAGAGAGCTGGATTGGAAGAGGAGCAGCAAGGACACAAACTGACACCCACATGGGATGCTGGCACCGCAGGCCGAGGCTTAGCTTACTATGCCACAGAGCCAGGTCCAGGCCAATTGACTTATTTTTAAAGGTTTATTTTATTTATTTGAAAAGACAGAGTTACAGAGAGTGGGTGGGTTGGTGGGGTGGAGGTCTTTCATCCACTGGTTCACTCCCCAAATGGTCACAACAACCAGTGCTGGGCCAGGCTGTAGCCAGGAGTCAGGAGCTTCTTTCGGGTCTCCCACATGGGTGCAGGGGCCCAAAGACTTGGACCATCCTCCGCTGCTTTCCCAGGTGCATTGGCAGGGAGCTGGGTGGGAAGCAGGGTAGCCATGACTCAAACCATCGCCCATATGGGATGCCAGTGCTGCAGGCCAGGGCTTTAGCATGCTGCACCATAGCGCCAGCCCCCCCAATTGATTTTTGACAATGGTGCCAAGACTATTCAGTGAGGAAAGAATAATATCTTCAGCATGTGGTTCTGGGACTACTAATCAAACACATGAAAATAGACTTTATTCTTAGTCCATATTAAAACATTAGCTAAAAATGGACCAGCGATCTAAAAATAGCTATAAAACTCTGAGAAGAAAACATAGAGATAAATCTTCCTGATCTCAGATTTACCAACAGATTCTCAGATTCGACTCTAAAAGCATGAACTACAAAAGAAAAAGCAAATAAATTAAGCTTCATAAAATCAAAAACTCATTCATAACAGGACATTATTGTCGCTCCCCCTCTTCGTGGAGGAACGACACTAAACCCTGCCTAGGCTTCATATCCGAGTCACGGCACCATTATGTCGCTCCCCCTCTTCGTGGAGGAGCAACACAGGACCCTGCGCTGTTCTTTCGTCTGCTCGGCCCTCCCCGGGTTTGCTGCTGGTTCTTCCCGGGTTGGCTACTATCCCTTCCACCTCCGTGGAAGGGCAGTTCCCCCTGGCCACATTCCCCACTTCCGCAGGGGAGCGGCACACCGCCGGCCGGCTTTCTCGGGGGCTGCACGGGTTCCCTTAGATGTTCCCCATAGATGTTCCTGGTGCATGCCGTCTCTCTCCTCCTTTATAGTCCTCCTCCGCCAATCCCAACTCGGCTGCCCACACGCCGAGTACGCTGCTCTCCTCCAATCAGGAGCAAGTCCTACAGTTAATTGGTTGAACTGGAGGCAGCTGTGCGGAAGCTGTTTACTTCTCTCCCAGCGCCATATTGTGGGAGAGCAGATGCATAGAATAAGTCTTAATTCGAGTAACTTAGTCTAGTCCGGATTGCTCCCCACAGATCCCCCTTTCTTTTTATTTTTTGACGTTGATACGCGCCTGTCTTCGGTGTCCCGCGGCACACACTCTGCTCTACTTGCTAGAGTTGCCACAGGCTCTTACAAGTCCTATCAGGCAAACCGAATCCGGGTCCTCTCTTCGCCATGTTGCGAGGAGGGTTTTAGGCACTGATGCATGCCTGTGTTCGGTGCCCTGCAGCCCTGCCTCTACTCTGCTAGAACTGCCTGCAGGTGCTTACAAAACCTATCAGGTCAACCGAATCCAAGCCTTCTCATTGCCGTATTGTGGGGGAGACTTACTGATGTTAATTCGTGCCTGTCTTCGGTGACCTGCGGCGCATAAGCTGCTAGCCGCCCAGGTGCTCATCGCCTCACTTAATCAGGCAGACCGAATCCAAACTTTCTCGTTGCCATGTTGAGGGGAGGCCTTTCTATTTCTCTATTTCTCTATCTCCGGGCATTCCTATTTCTCCCATTTTACTTCTGTCTGCCAACATTCCCATTTCTCTCACTCCACTTCCAAACTTCTGTTTCTCTTATCCCCGCAGCTTCCCGCTGCCCGCCCCGAGGCTACTTCTCGGCAGCTTCCCAGCTGAGCTGCTTCAGCCCGCGCCTCTTTCATCTGCGCAGCTTCCCGGCTTTGCGCGGCTTGACTTCGCGCGCTCCGCGGTCTCCACGCCCTTCGCGTCTGCACCACGGCCTACGCCAGCCCCGTTCCCTATCTATTCACGCCCCGTGCTCTCTCTGCACGCGGCGGCTTCCGCGAGTAACACAGCGTAGCTTACGTGTCCGCCACTAGCATTCAATCTAAGTTCCCCGAGCTAGCCTGGCGAATTCAACCCAGCGTACGTCTCCGCCCCACGGTTTGCTTCCGTCCTTTGCTCC